TTGGCAGGGGGCTGTACGAGAGGGATGTCAGAGGCTGGCAGCCAGGCTGTGTGGGGAGAGGCAGCGCAGGGACGGTTCCACCCAGCCCCGGGCTGCACTGGCACCTCGGCCATCACGGGACCCTGCCCAGTCAAGCCCCAACCCAGGACGGTGCTGGCAGAGCAGGGGGTGCCCAGGGTAGGGTAACACCCCCAACCAGCCACCCCTGCCAGAGAGCAGGAAGCCCCAGACCCAACTTCCCCCCTCAGTCTAGAGACCAGGAAACCAGATGTCGGCTGAGGCGGCCATTCCAAAATGCACACATCTTCAAAGCAGGGCGATTTTCCATGTCCTTTGGGCAATTTTAGAACAAGTTTGTAAAACTGGAATTTTAATGGATGACATATTCGTGTGTGCGTGTGTGCGTGTGCGTGTGCGTGTGTGTGCGTGTGCGCCTGCATGTGGACGTGTGTGTCTGGGCACCTTTGGTGGCTGTTGCTACTACAGCATCTTGGGAGGCAAATGGGGTGGGGGTTGTTTCTTAAAGGACATCCAGGTTCACTCCCAGCTTCACGCAGGTGCAAAGGACCTTCAGGAACTGGGAGGTGGCTGTGCTTCGGAGCCAGCCGGCAAGGGGCGTGGGCCGCCCTGAGCCTCCCTGTCTGGGCTGCGGGTGGGAAGCCTGCTCTGAAGTCACCCTCCTCCTCGACACTCAGCGCCCCTTCCCCCGGCTCACCTTGGAGCAGGTGTGTTCGTGTTCTGGGGCGGCCGTGACAGAGTCCTGCAGACTGGGCGGCCTGAACAACAGACGCTTACTCTCTCACAGTTCTGCGGGCTGGAGGTCCCAGATCTAGGTGTGGGCAGGGCCGGCTCCTTCTGAGGCCTCTCTCCTGCGCTTGCAGACGGCTGCCTTCTCGCTGCGTCCTCACGTGGTCGCCTCTCCGTCTGTGTCTTGCCTGTGTCCCCATCTCCTCTTCTTTTAAGAACACCACTCGTATTGGATTAGGGCCCACCATAATGACCCCATTTGAACATCATTACCTTTTTAAAGCCCCCATCTCCAAATACAGTCCCATTCTGAGATCCTGGCGTCAGGGCTTCAATATAGGAGTTTGAGGGGGACACGCTTTAGGCCACGATGCCGGACGCCATCCGTGAGCTTGCCCCGCTTTGGTCTGACCTTCGACACCTTCACTTTTAACTGCGTCTCCTTGCTTCCCTCCCGTTAGACGCCTCCGCCCGCCCGGCACACGCTCCAGTCACACTCCCACGGTACGCTCGCACCAGGACGGGAGGATCCGAAACTGCGGCTTTCCCTTCACTGTCCCCATCAGCGCGTGACCCGCCACCTCCACGGCACTCCCAGGGCCAGCTCGGTGCCCGTCCCCCACGGTGCTCAGGCCACGCCTGGGGAACAGCAGGGGACGGGGAGGGGGTGGGGACTGCAGCAAGTCCGGGAGGAGAGGCAGGGCCAGAGCAGAGAAGACACCGCACTAAGGATGTGGTCTGCCCCGGGGACATGGATTTGGGGCCCTTCGTGTGGGAGATCCTGGAGGACACCCACATTCCAGGGTGATGGGCGGAAGGGGACCCTATGAGGGGAACTGAGGCACAGGCAGCAAGGGAGAGGGACCAGGAGGGAGGAAGGCGTCAAGGAAGCCACGGCCAGGGTGTTATGTAGAAGGCCCCAGTGATGGCCGGGAGGTGAAGAAAGTCCAGGCAGGAATGAGCCCCCTGAATCCAGCCACCCAGAGACCCGGGCACTGAGGAGAAAGGGTGTCTGTGCAGGGGTGGGTCGGGGGCAGATGGCAGTTTTTCCAACTGCATAGCAACCCCAAAACTTACCAGCTTAAAACGACCGTTTTATTACGCTCCCAGATTCTATGGGCCAGAGGTCAGGCAGGGCACAAGGGACGACTCGTCCCTGTCCATGGTGTCTGGCGAGACTCCAAAGTCACGGCCAAAATGACCTGGGGGTGTCTTCCCTCCGCGCTGGCTGGCTGGGCCTCAGATGGGGGCCGTCAGCTAGAACCTCTCCTACAGCCTGGGCTTCCCCACGGCATGGCCGCCCCGGGTGATTAGACTTGGGCATGGCGGCTCAGGGCTCCAAGCAATGTCCCAGCAAACAAAGCAGAAGCTACATCCACAATTAGTTCCGGAAACTTAAAAGAGGAAAGTCAGTATAACAGAGGGGCATTAAGAACATGGACCTGGAGGTAGATAGACTGCCTGGATTCAAATCCCCACTCTGGCACATACTGCCTGTGGGCCCTCGTAGGGCCTCAGTTTCCTTATCTGTAAAATGGACACAATCATTGACCTTCGTACAAAGCTGTCGTGAAGATTATGCCTGTGCTATAAGGAGACTCACTTAGAACAGTGCCCGATGCATTCACGGCCCCTGCTGTGTGAGTATTTGTTGATATAAGTATTACCCAGAGGGGAGTGTTTAAGATGAGAGAGACTTGGGCACGTTTTCAGTAGGAGGGGAAGGAGAGATTGCAGCCTCGGGAGGGGCTGGCTGGCACAAAATCTCCACGTGCAAGGTCGCATTTCAGCTGCGCCTCAAAGTCCAGATGGGGGAGGTCCAGCTCAGGGAGCTTGGCCAGGGTAAACTCAAGAGTCGGGTCCGGAGAACGGGAAGCGGCTCCTCTCTGCCGAGCCCAGGGCCAGACGGAGGGTCCGAGTTAGAGCTGTGATGATCATTTTGAGTTTTGAGAACATGGGGCAGGCCCAGGAAAGGAGTTCCAGGTCAGCTCTTCCATTCTACACCCATTCCCCGTCCTCCATCACCCCTTTATTCTGCTGTCGCCATCTCTAAGCAGGGCCGAGGAAATGTGAACACATCAGGACATAGATGTGAAATCTCAAGAGGCTGCATGAACCAAGCACATGTGCGTGCGTGCGTGCGTGCATGTGTGTGTGTGTGTGTGTGTGTGTGTGTATGTGTGTAAGAGAGATGATGGGGCCATCACATTGCTCATGCCCAGCCAACACCGTAAGTCTGTGTGTAGGGCGCCCCCTGGAGTTAAGCAGTGCACAACCCATGCAGCCATGCTTGGCTGCCCTGAGCATAGATTGTGGGCTCTGCACACACCTGGCCTCTCATCTGCCAGGCAAGCTCCCTGAGGCCAGGCCCAAACCCCACCTCTCAGCCCCCAGACCCTGTCTGCCTGACCTTCAGGCAGGGGTGGAACCAGGTAGGGGCTCAAGGTTTCCAACTTCCCAGCCCCCTGGTGCGCCCACGGCTCTCCTCTAGCCTCCTCGTGGCTTCATCTTTGTCCCTTTGGTGAGGCTGCTCCCTGGGCCAAGTGAGGGAGGCAGTGCCCTCGGGTCCCGGCGTGTACCTTCTGTAGACGCTGGGGTGCAGGGTGGTGTGACCTTGGCTCTGAGACGTTGTCGGGGCCCCTCCCCTCTTACCTGAGTCATGGAATTCTCCAGGGGCGGGCAGGGCCGCTGCCTGGAGCCAGGAGCGGTGAGGTCATGGGCCGAGTCCACCCCTGGCCCTGCCATCAGGCAGAGAAGGGTGTGTCCCCTCCCTGGGGCGTGGCAGCTGAGCTCATGTTTCTCCAGCAAGCGCCTAGACCTGGAGACTGAACACTGAGCAGGTGGGAGCTTCCTTGTTGTCGCTGCATCTCCTTCTTGGACGTCAAGTCCCCTTCCGCCCTTCCCGCCCCTGTGCTCCTCCGTAGAGAAGCAGGCGACAGGCCCGTGGGGGGAGGAGGGCGTGAGCCAGGCCACTTCGGGCCACTTGGCTGCAGAACAGAGGCGGGAAAGCCGTCTGCTTTGCCTGGGGGAGTGGGGATGTTGTGGAGAAGGGGGGGGTCAGGGGCACTGGACTCCGGAGGGGCGACGGTGCCAGGCTTCGGGGGTTCTGAGCCCGGGTGTGGCTTGGCGAAAGTCGCCGTGTGTCTGGATTGCTGTCTGGGGTCACATGCCTGGAGGGAGGGGCCCTCGAGAGCCTCAAGGGCTCGCGGCAGGGTCCGGAGCCCGCGCCAGCCAAGCCCCAGCCGCTGTGCCGCGTGCCTCTCCCCGTCGTGTATCATTCATCTGTGCTGCCCTCCACCCCGACCCAGAGACGGGCCAGCCATGGCTGACAGAGGGGAAACCGCGGCCTCAAGTGGTCACTCTGGGCTCCGGTCACAGAAGCACCGCAGGGGCTCAACCCTGACACACAGCCCCAGCCCCCTCCAGAGCCATGTGGCCACCTCTGTGAAGGGGGACATTGGGCTCCGGGTGACCAGATGAGAAGAAGGAGGCTATGGGGGCATGGAGGGAGGAAGGGACAGTTTCAGACATGCCGAGTTTGTGGTGGGCATGACACGTCCCACTGGAGACTGAGGGCTGCCCTCAGGAGAGGCCAGGGCCGGGGCTTCCACTGTCAGCTCCCCAGAGGAAGGAGGACAAGCCCAGAGCAGCCGAGCCCCAGAGGTCGGCATGCGCGCAGAGCAGGTGCCCAGGTTGGGCCTCGGGGAGGGCTCCGTGAGCCATCAGACTTCACGCTAAGCCTCAGCGAGCCGGTGCCGGGGACCCCAGCTTCAGGGCTGGGACGACCTACAGCGCTGGGTGTGGGCAGAAGGACACGGGTGTGGGGTGTGGCGGCAGGAGAGGGGACCTTGTATCCTCCTCCCCGAGGCCCCCGCCCCAGGGTCACGCACACTTACTCCCTCCCCGGAGCTGCTGGGGGCCCGTGGGGCGGGGGCTGGGGGTGAGCGTGTGCAGCCTAGCGGGCAGTGAGGGCAGCAGGGCCAGGTCCCCTCCTGCCTGACATCCCCTCATGTGGGGCACAGTCATGGTCGTCCCCCTGGTTCTGCCCGGGGACCAGCTCTTTGCACTCAGCAATTCCAGGAGGGGCCCGGCTGGTCGGGGCGCAGTGGAGGGGGTCTTGGGAGATATTTGGAGCCGCTGTCTTCACTCGGTCCCCAGCTCACAGGCCTGCTACAGGCACACACACGTGCTCACTCACACACATTGTACGTGCTCGCTCACACTCACACTCACACGTGCACACGCACACCTGCATGTGGGCTCATGTCATGGGACCAGGGGGCGGGGCGGCGGTTGGGGGTGTCCCTGGCTGGGCGTCCTCAGTGAAGGTTGCACTTCGCAGCTGTGGCCTGTGGCTGCAGAGGCTGCAGCGGGCAAGGGCTCGTCCAAGGTCAGCCAGGCTGTCAGGGCCTGGGCTGGATCCCCCTCCCCTGATGCCCCAGGACTCCTGGCTCACTTCCCGGATGTCGCCAGCCCCTGCTCCCCTTTGGGGTGGCGCCAACAGGCCTGGGGGACTCTTGGTGTCCCCACAGAGCCTAGGCCAGGCTGGGCCCTCTACAGGTGCATGCCCAATGCCAGGGGTGTTACTGTGTGCTCTGGGGAGGCCCTGCCCAAGGACCCCACCCCAGGGGCTGGCTTCCCCAACTTGCACCCTGAGCACCAGAGCCTTGGTGGGCAGGAGTGTCTCCCACTTGTCCCCCACCCCTGTCTGTTGGAAACAAACAGATGTCAAAGCTGTGGTGACGCTGCCGTGGCCTGGGCAGTGAGGAGCTGAACCACACAGTGGCGGGGCACAAGGGACCCGGGGGGAGGTGCTGGCAGGTCCTCGGACACAGCGCACACTGGCTGAGGTGCAGCTTCGGAGAGACTGCTCACATCCCTGCTTTGTCACTTTCCAGGGCGAGGATGTGACCTCTCTACACCTCACTCTCTGTCACACATCGGCTTAGAAAGCCCCTAGATCACGCGTGGAGAGGACTTTGTGGGCGCTTGCTCGGCAGTGGCGGCTCAGTGGACGAAACCGTCAACCCAAGGCCCAGGCCTGGCCTAGTGGCTTCTGTCACTCGGCCGTGCAGGCCGAGGATGGTGGGGAGCGAGGGTGAGCCCGCTCAGGGCACCCGGGAAGGAGAGGCCCCAGAGAGCTGGCCCGGCCCCAGGGCCCCCCTGTCCCCAGGGGCTAATTTGTGCAGGGTGTGAGGGCGCCAAGGAGAGGCCAGTGGCCACTGCTCAGGAGCTGCAGGGGATTCCTGGGAGTTACCAGCCCCTCCTGAAAGCCACCCCACAGCTGGAGGCCCTGGAAATAAAGTGGGACTGTCAGGGCCTGTCCTCCCTGACCCTGAGCAGGGCACTGGTGGGGGAGGAGCAGCAGAGCTGCCCGAAGGCCTCCCACCCGGTCCAGGCTGCTGAGAGGGCACCGGGAGCTTCAGTGGCCCAGGCCAAGGCCCCTTGAGGGTCAGCGGTTCAGTTCGGCTGTCCCCGCAGGCCCTGTGCACGCCCCACTGCTCCGTCCCCTTCTCTTGGCCTTGCTGGGTTCACGCCACTCCTTAGACTCCCCCTGCGTGAGGGCAAAGCCTCTGCCTCGGTTTCCTCCACAGCGCCTGGCAGGGTGGGTGCAGTGGCGGCTTCACCTGGGAGTGCACCCTGGCGACTCCCGTGGGTGGCAGTGGTGTGGGGTGGAGGCAGGGGTGGCCCTGCACCCAGAGGCGCCCTGGAGGCGGCAGGCCCACCTGGGCTCTTCGTTCCGGCTGTCCTGATTTTCATGGTTTGGTGAGGGGAGAGGGGGGATCCTGCTTCCTGAGACCCTCTGGTTCCTGAGGTGGCATCTGTGGGTGGACCCTCTCCCTCCTGGGCCTCAGTTTCCTCCTTCTGCAAGTCGGCACCTGCCTGGTGCACCCGGGGCTGTCCCCATGAGCACTGAGGTCATGGCTGGGAAGCCACGAGCCTCCCCCAGAAAGATGCACCATAAATACCTCCTCGGCCTCAGTATGCTCATTGGGGCCCGGGAGCCGCGCGTGCAGAGCTGAGCAGGCGGGGCGTGTGAGTCGCCCCAGAAGAATGGGGCCACCCCATCCCCACATGGGAGAACAGGGTCCCGACACTGGAGACCCGGGGCTGTCTGAGGCTTCTCCTCCTCCAGCCCCTCTCACTCATCCTTCACCCCTCCCCCCAACACTCGCACGCGCACGCACACACGCACACACACACACATGCACACACACGCACACACGCACACACACACACATGCACCACACATACATGCGCACGCACCTCTGCCTGTAAACCCTGGGGAAGGAGCACTCACTGAGCACCTACTGGCTGCCAAAGCCAGCTGTGACAATGCTGCGCACACGTGCTAAGGGGCAGGGGTGGTCCCCGAGGTGGGGAGGGTTTCTGCTTACGAAGGTGCCTCCTGGGGAAGAACTCGGGGAGCAAGAGGGGAAGGCACAGGCCAGAGGTAAGAAGGGACGAAGCGGCGCTGTAACTTTACTGGGCACTTAGAGGTGGGCGGGGTGAGAGAGGTGACCGAGATGCCCCTGGGCCAGGGGTGGGCCTGGTGTCCAGGTCTCCTTCCGAGGGCAGAGCGAAGTGCTCACTCCTGCGTGTTTTAGCATGAGTGTCCCAGAGTGCTGAGTGTGAAAAGCAGCAAGGGGACAGTCCCTTCTCTTGTCACCCACTTGTCCGGACTGTCAGCACTTTCTGAGCTGGTGACAGGAGACCCACGCCACCCCAGATCAGCCTGCCAGCCTCCCTTCCCCTCTGTTGCCAAGGTGACCCCAGAGGATGCGGGTGTATCCAAGGGCAGTGAGCGGACAGCCCTCCTCCCTCCATCTTCTGCTCCCTGCTCGCGCCCTCCTCAGTCTGCCCGCCAGGGGCCGTGTCCACTCACAAGTCAGGGGCGGAGCCCCATCCTAGCCCAGAAAGCAGCAGGGCTGGGATGGTTTTTAAATTTGGGAGGGGTACATTCATGGAGGACGAGCTCTCCCATCCCAAGACTTGAGTGGGAACTGAGCACAGGTCACCTGTGGCGGGGGTGGGGAGAGCAGCACTGAGTCCCCCATGCAGGGAGCAAACCAGCCTGAGCAGGGGAGGGACCGTGTGCCCTCCTGCCATTTCTTAAATACTCTTATGATATCGCGATATCTTAAAATTTCTTATGATAAAAACACTCAGCAAACTAGGTATAGAAGGGAACTCCCTCAGCCCATTAAAGGATTTCTATGAAAAAGCCACCGCTGACTTCGTAGGTAACGGTGCAAGACTGGATGCTTCTCCCGTGAGATCAGGACAAAGTGGGATGTCTGCTGTCTCCACCGCTGTCGAACATTGTGCTGGAGGCTCCAGCCGGGGTGACGAGGCCAAAAAAGACATAAAAGGCATCCAGATTGGAAAGGGAGAAGTAAAACTATCTCTGTTTGCAAATGGCAAGCTCTTATATATTGAAAATCCTAATGAATCCATTAAAAAAACTATTAGAACTAATAAAGTTCAGCAAGTTCACAGGATCAATATACAAAAATCAACTTTGTCTTCATACACTAGGAATAAGCAATCCAAAATGAAATTAAGAAAACAATTCCTCTAGCACTCTGGGAGGCCAAGGCGGGAGGATCGCTCAAGGTCAGGAGTTCGAGACCACCCTGAGCAAGAGCGAGACCTCGTCTCTACTAAAAATAGAAAGAAATTATCTGGACAACTAAAAATATAGAAAAAATTAGCCAGACATGGTGGTGCATGCCTGTAGTGTCAGCTACTCGGGAGGCTGAGGCAGAAGGATCACTTGAGCCCAGGAGTTTGAGGTTGCTGTGAGCTAGGCTGACGCCACGGCACTCTCTCTCGGGCAACAGAGCAAGACTCTGTCTCAAAAAAAAAAAAGAAAAAGAAAACAATTCCCTTTACAATAGCATAAAAAGGTAAAATAACAAAAGGAATAAATTTACCAAAAGAAATGTAGGTCTTATATTCTAAAAACTACAAAGCATGGTTGAGGGAAATTTTAAAAGGTTCAAATAAATGGAAAGACATCCCATGTTCATGAAACAGAAGACGTTAGACTTATTGTTAAGATGGAAATACTCCCCAAATTGATCTAGAGATTCAACATAATCCCCATCTCTCAAGGCTCTGAAATGTCTATTTCTGTGAAGCTGGGATGGTCCCTCTATTTGGGAGAGTTGGGGGTCTCATCTTGGTCATGCCTCAGGACCACCCGCGGGACTGCCTGTCTTAAGGCAGTAAGTTAGTTGTAGAAGAAAAACCCAAATTCTGGGGCCAGACGGGACTGGTATGAATCCCAGTGCTGTGTGACCTTGGGTGTGTAACTAAACCTCTCTGAGCTGCTTTTTCACAACTACTCACAGGGTAGTGAAAAATAAGTAGTATTTGTGAAGTGCCTCCCATATGGTCCAGCATACACAGGGTGCCCACCCGAGGTTAGTTTCCTGTGCAAATCTCCTCTCACCACCACCCCCAGTGCTCCTGGGTCAGATGGAGGCAACAATCTCGGGAGAGGCCCAGGGCTAGGGAAGGGTTGGGACCCAGGGTGACTGTACTCTTGGACGTTGCCCAGTGGCCTGACCTACGGCAAAGCTGGGATCCACTGGGGCCTCCCAGAGCCCTTGGGGTGCTTGGTCATTGGTTTAAAGGCAAGGTTTCCTCCCAGCCCCCAATTTCAAGGCTCCATGAAGCGGTGGTTTGTGGGTGCGTGGAGGACACACAGCCCTGGCTTCTGGGAGGCTTGCGGAGGGGCCTCAACAATGTGGCTGGACCAGCGCCTGGGGCTTCATGAGTTCACCCCCATAGAGGGAGGGGCCTCTGGGAGCCCCGAGCGAGGAATAATTGTAATAGGTAACGTTGATTGAGCCTTAGTCTGTACCAAGCGCTGGGCATGTGGAAACTCATTTCGTCCTCATGACAGCCTATGAGGTCAGCAGTGTCTTCGCTCAGCTTTACAGAGTGGTAAGTAGTGTCTTTAATCACATCTTCACCGAGGAGGAAACTGAGGCAGAGAGAAGTAGCTCTCCCCAGCTGGTGCAGGCAGAGAGTGACTGAGCCGGGCCTTTGGTCCAGGCTGTCTGGCTCCGGAGCCCGTTGCCACTTCCTTATAGTTCCTCGAGGTCAGAAGGGTAAGGCAGCTGCCCTGAAAACGGCCACAGCTGCCGAGAACTGGATGGTGAGACCCACGTGGTCCTGGCCTGTGCTAAGGCTCAGAAGGCATAAAACGTTCATAGAAGGTTCTGGACCCTCGAGGTAAATTAGATTCTGGGGCCTCTGAGCATACATCTCGCAGGGGCCCACCCCTTCTCTCCAAGCATGACCGGACCAGCTCCGGGGCATGGGACATCCGTGACTTCTGTGGGTCCCTGATGTCTGTGCCTTTTAAAAGTATGTAAATGGGGCCATGTCCCACCTCCATGACATCCCCCCCACCTCGAGGCCTGTGTGCATCCCCAGGAAGAGGCCCTCCCTGATTTGATTCCCAGCTTTGTCACTCACCAACTCTGTGTGACCTCGGGCAAAGTCGCTTCACCTCTGTGAGCCTCAATTTGCTCATCTATAAAACAGAGCTATAATCTCCTTCTCCGGGTTGATGCAAGAGTTGCTGATAACATGTACAAAGAGCCTGCACGAATAGTTGGCCCAATAAATGCCGGAGGTTTTTATTAGCCTCTTAGAATGTAGGAATGCGGTGTGAGAAACAACCTCTGGAGGAGCCCGTCATGGGACGGAGGGAGTCACAGACGCGGAGGCATTTGGACTGGCCTGGGTG